GTTTTCTACCTATGTAACTACACACATTTTGCTGTTGTTACTGTTGTTGCAGTTAATAGCTTTTTTGAGCCCTCAGTGGTGGTGCTATTTTCTGGGCAGCATGGTTACCCCAGCCACCTCCGGAACTGGGCTTGTTACAAATAGAAGCAGTGGTCCCCCGGGAGGTGAGGTTCTGGGCTTGTTGTCTCCACCCCTCCTCACACTCCCCTGGGCATCCCCATCAAGCTTACAGGCGTCTGTCTCCTTTTCAGCCTCCTGAGGGAGTTCCTGCCTGGCAACAGCAGGAAAGTCAGAGGCCCTGCCAACAGCTGTATGTTCCTGCTGCCTCCTGGTGGCCAGATGCCAGGAGTGGGCCTGCTGCCTCTGTCCTTGCTGTCCCTATTTTCCCACTCATACCCCAAGTTTCTGCTCAGTCTTCCTTTATGGGTCCCTGGTGATTTCAATCTCTAGAGACTACCCCGTATGCCTCTCGTCCAGCTCATGACCTGTTTTCCTCTCAGCTGCCAGCTGTACCACCGGCCTGTCATCAGCTTCTGCATGGATCCCTACATTTGTACCCCCTCTACAGGTGAGAAGGTACTGCATTTCCATCCACAAGTCTCATTTAGGGTCCAGGTACCAGGTGGGGCAGACTTAGGGGGAAAACTTGGCATTTCCCAGTTCCCAGGATCCTCAGACAGTGTCTCCCTCCTTTGGAGTCACACCTGCTACTCCTGTGCCCCTTGGAGCCTGCTTTGTGTTCTCCTCCAATGGGCAGACTCTAGTATACTAGAGTCAGCCTGGCTCCCACAGTCTCCAGTCCTCAGCAGCCTGGCCTTACCAAGCTGATGTAAGACCTGGGAAAGCCAAAGCCTCACTTGGGGTAACCAGCTGTTTCTTTATGCCTTGGAAGGAATTCCTGCTCCTGAGGGCAGCTGAGCCCATGGACCACGCAGAAAGCTGAAGGTCCGGGGCCAGGCCAGTCACAGGCTTCCTCTTCCCGTGCCTCCTCCTGTTTTTCTTCTATCTCACAGAGCCTCTGTCCAACATGGTGGTGAATGGCGTGCTCCAGGGCTTCTACGGCTTCAGCATCAGCCCTGTCAAAGCCCAGCCAGAAGCTGCCAGTCACCCTACTCCTCTGCCCATGCCCTGATCACCCCAGAGGCCTTTGAGCCACCTGTTAGGACAGTCTCGTGACTTAGTCTGATGAGCTCCATGTAAGGGGCCAGGGCTGGGTCCTCCCTTGGCCTGGGACCCAAGTCTTACCCACCCAGGGTTCAGAACTCAGCCTGCACTGGTAGCTAGAGGTGCTAGAATTCATGTGCTCTTAGAGCCCAAGGGCCAAGGAAAGGGCACAGAGAATAAGGATAAAGCAAGAAGTCAATTTAGAAGTAGGCTATGAAAATCTATGGGAGCTCTGGTGGTGTAGTACCTAAGGCATTTGACTGCTAACCAGAAGGCTGGCGGTTCAAACCCACCAGCCACTCCCCGGAAGGAAGATTGGGCAATCTACTTCCATAGTGATACCACCTTGGAAACCCAAGGAGGGGTTGCTGAGTTGGAAATGACTAAATGTTAGTGAGTTTGGCTTTTTGGTTATGAAAAGCTATAAAAGGTATTTCTTAACCTAAACCAGAAGGAAAAATTAAAAAAAAAAAAAAAAAAAGAAACCCAAAAGCAAACAAAGTTGAGGGATGGTAGCTGGCAAAGTTTAGAAATAAGGAGGAAAAAGCTCCTCTCTTTTTGTGAGTAGCTTCTGGGTAAAGGTTCAGGCAGGAAGCTAAGGAAAGGGCTTATATCCACTGTGACAGAAGAATCTCAGACATGCTGGATATCAACTTGGGGAAGATGCTGTAGGCCCAAGAACCCAGCCCACATGCTGGTTATTAAAAAAAAAACAACTTTTTTTTATTGGTCAGTAGGAATTTGTTACAAAACTGGGCCTGTGGAATGTGGGGGTGTGGGTCCACTCTGTCAGATGCCAGCACCAGGGCCCGTGTGGTGCAGAGCCCTGTGGTAGGCCACCTTCACCCTCCTGAGGGCAGCAGTGCTGCACACAATGTTGCTCAAAGTGAAGAGGTCCCTGGGGCCCTACTCCTTGGCAATGGCAAAGGGCTTCTCCACCTCAATCTTGCCACAATCTGCGATTGTCACATCCTTCAGGGGCTTGTCCCGACCATCTGTCTTGGTGCTCTCCACCTTTCGGACTACATCCTGGGAAGGAAAAGAGGAAGTGGGAAGGCAGGGTGGGTCAGGATGTCGACCACTCAAATGAGCTAAGCCCCAGTGTATATGGCTCAGGAGGGCAGAAACTTACATGTGCCGAGGAGCATACAAACCTCAAGGCACCTGCCAAGGTGCCAGCCCAGGGCAGGGTTAACAAGGAGAAGCAGCAATTCTGTTCCTTTAAGGAAGACCCAGGTTGGCCCAAGGCTGGGCAAGACCCAGGTACCAAGGTGTGGTACCAGGTATCTTTAGGGAAATGATGTTCTGCTGGACCCTATACAATTTGGGGGGTGCGTATCACCAAGTGAATAACGGAGGTTCCTACAGTCGTGCATCCTTAGCAAGCTCACCTTGACTGGGTGATACCGTGGGTCCAGAAGGGTTCAGAATTTGAGGGGCATCAAGGTACAGGCTATTTATCCTTGATTCCCCCCAGGTTAGTAGCCATCCACTGGTCTGAATCTGAGGGTTCAATTCTTCTGGGAAAGCCATCTGGGTCTGTGTTGGATCCCTGGGGAGGACTGCCCAGGTTCAGCCCCAGTCTCCAGAACTCACCATGCCCTCTAGAACCTTGCCAAACACTACGTGCTTGCCATCTAGCCAGGATGTCTTGACTGTAGTAATAAAGAACTGGGAGCCGTTGGTGTCTTTGCCTGCATTGGCCATGCTCACCCAGCCGGGCCCATAGTGTTTCAGCTTGAAGTTCTCATCGGGGAAACGTTCGCCATAGATGCTCTTTCCTAGGAAGACAGACATAGATAGCCGTAAGTTGGGGAGGGGGAATTATGTCGGCCCAAACACAATTTGGGCCAACAGGTCTGCCACCTGGGAGAGACCCTTTTAGGTCCACCTGACCCCCCACTATTTCCTATACACAGGGTTTCCTGTGCATAGAAGGGTGCAGCTAGTCTCAATGCAGGTAACAGGCCTGCCTTCCCACCCTGGAGGCTGGCACTGTCTTCAGTGCCAGGCCAGGTCAAGTGCAGAATGAGGACAAAAAAGCTGTCCCCTTCTTATCTCCTGGCCTGAGAGCCAAACTGTACTTCTGAGACCCAGTAGGGTACAAAGTCCAGGTTTAGTGAAAAGCTCATGTGACGAATGACTTTGACTTTTAGAGTACAGTTTTATGGCTTTTAAATAAAATACAGATTATCAGCTACTCTTGGCTGTGGTCTGAGAGACCTGCCATGGTGGGGCTTTGGGGAAAAGAGGTGCTGTGCAGGACACAGGGTGGACAGGGAGACAAGTGGGAGAGGTTAAAAATTCTCCAGAAGAGAACTTCTGTGGCTGCAAAGCAGGAGGAGACAGAAAAATGGGTGGGGAGGTACAGACAGACACCAAGGGGGGGCTGCCATTTGGGTTCTGGGGAGTTGAGAGCTTCTTATCAATGAACATAAAATAAAAGGCTACTATGAATGTGCCTAATGTGTCTGTCCACATGGGCAGGGGGGCCGGGGTGTACGAGGGAGCCAAGAGCAGATCTTGACACCGTTTCAGAGATCCAAACTTCGGTTTCCAAAACCAGTTCCAGGAGAAATTAAGAAAGGCAATTCAAGGGCTCCTTGGTCCAAATGGTAAATGTTTGAACCCTCTTCCCCTGCCACCTCCTGGAGAGTGACTGTGTATTGTTAGTGTATTAAAAGACCCAAGAATCTCAGCAATAAAGAAAGCCTTTTCATTTTGTTTTATCCAACACCGCTCAAACTTACTTGCCATGTGAAACCCTTTAAATCCTCCCAAAGCCAAACCTATTGCCATTGACTTGATCTGATTCACAGAGGCCCCATAAGACAGGGTAGAACTGCGCCATAGGGTTTCCAAGGCTGTAAATCTTTATGGAAGCAGACTGCCTCATCTTGCTCCCATGGAGTGGCTGGTGGGTTCAAACCACCAACCTTTCAGTTAGCAGCTGAGTTCTTAACCACTGTGCCACTAGCCCAGCTTCTCTCCACTCCTAAATCTTCATCCTGTGATTCCACAGAATGGAACCAGGTTGGGGGTGCTCCTAGACTGATGCTAACCAGGGAGATAAGGAAGGGCTGATTACACAGCAGATGAGAAGATGGAAAAATAAGAATTACTAATTAAAGAAGGCACACTAAGTCCAAGGGGTGTAGGCATGGATTTTCCCCCCAGCTCTTGTTTCCCAGTACTTCTGTGAGGAGCTCCATCCAATCCAATCAGCTTCAAGGCATCAGGCCAGACTCTTGACTGGTGCGGATGGGGAGAGGGGTGTCTCAGTAAAACTTGAAGGTTAATACAGTGTATCTGTCTGTCCTATGTGTACAGAGTAGTGTCTGGTGGGAGAATGCTAAGGAAACTTCTGCCACTCCAGCTGGGGCTTCCAAAGTGGCCCATGTAGGCTTTGTGTGCCTGACCTAGAATGACCTACACATGTGTCTTTACTTTGCTCCCCTCCCCACAAGGTATCAAGAAAAAAATCACCAGGCTATCCTCTGGCATCAGCAGGTCTGCCCCCTGGGAGAGACCCTCTTAGGTCCACCTGACCCCTACTATTCCCTATACACAGAAGGGTGCAGCTAATCTCAATGCAGTGAACAGGCCTGCCTTCCCACCCTGGAGGCTGCACTGTCAGACTCCTCTACCCAGAGGAACCGAGGTTACCTCCAGTGCCATCTCCCCGGGTGAAGTCTCCACCCTGGATCATGAAGTCCTTGATCACCCGATGGAATTTGCTGTCCTTGTAGCCAAATCCTTTCTAGAAAAAGGGATGGGAAGGTAAAGAGTTGGCATAAGACACCAGGCAGACATTAGAGTCCCCGGAACCCAGCCCACACAACTACTGCTCACAACAGAGACACCACTGCCAGCAAGCTTCACTATTCAAAATGCTATTAGGTTAGCAATTACCACAGGCCAGACATGGGGCACACAGACCCAGGAAAGGCTGAGACCCCCATTTCTCTATCCTATATAACATCTCAAATTGTGTATGATTCTGTGTCACATGGTGCCGCCCCCTTCCACCTCTCATTTCTTCTAATCTTAAGAACAGATGCAAAAAAACAGACTGAGAAAAAGATACCTGCTGGCCCAATGAAAAGGTCAGATAGAAAACAGACTTTCTTAAATGGGGCACTCTAGGTTCCTAGAAACCTGGGAGTCTCTAAGCTCCTTACTCTTAGGAGAACACTTTGATGCAAGGGCCACAAATGGTTTTTTACAGATGTTTTCTTTGGTTATTGCAGTCTTAAAAACACAAAAATTCCTCCAAAAAAATCTAGATTTCTGGATTCAGTTAAAAAAAAAAATTCAGAAGCTATGACATACTGGGTTCCCAGAGCCATAAGGTAACGGTCCGTTGGTAGTGAGTGGCGTGTTACTGACACAGATGGGCTGCGGTATGCAGTCCAGTTTGCTGCCAACCCTATTTGCCAACTTCACTTCTCCTGAGTTGAGGATCTCTGCTCTAGCAACTTACCTCTCCGGTAGCTAAGGCCACAAAATTATCTACTGTTTTCGGAACAGTCTTTCCAAAGAGACCGATGACCACCCGGCCTACATCTTCATCTCCAATTCGTAGATCAAAGTACACCTAAGGAAAAAGACCATTTCAGACTTAGACCCTTGATAGAAGGTAAGTGGGGATGGAAGATAAAACAGCCATATTCATTTTCTTCCTCACTTTAGAAGCAGTGGTTCTGAATGTTTTTGGTGGAGTCAAAAATCTTATGAGCTAATGAAAGCTCCAGACACTTTTCTCCTATAATATGCTTGTCTATACTCTCCTAAGGCACTTGACTGCTAACCAGAAGGCTGGCGGTTCAAACTCACCAGCCACTCCTCGGAAGGAAGGCTGGGCAATCCTACTTCCGTAGTGATACTGCCTCGGAAACCCAAGGAGGGGTCGCTATGAGTCGGGGCCGACTCGACGGCATATTATAACAACAACAACAACACTCTCCTTAGGCTACAGAGCAGCAATTTTTGCTTTAAATAAACGAAGGACCCAAATTCTGGAAATTAACATAAAAATTCCTAAGAAGGAAAGCCCGAACTCACCATACAACCTCAAACTGTATTTGTTATGTTCAAAGCTTGGCCTAAGGAGAGAGGATTCTGAAGTTGGCAGACATGCTTTTTCACCATTTCTCCAAAAAGACTGTTCTGAGGTGGGCAGTGCTGGCCTCAGTTGAGCATTCCGAGCGTGAACTCCCTGAGTCAGGGCAGGGGCTGGGGGTGTCATCCTCGGGTATGAATGGGTATGATGGCCCAGGCGCCACGAGGCCTAAGCCGGGAGCCTAGGAGTTAAGCCAAAGACAAGGGCGCCCAGGACGAAGTTCAGGACCCTAAAAATCCCCCGGACACCTCTAGCCCGCGGCGCTCGGGCCGGACCCCATACGGCAGAGGGCGAGTCCCCAAGGGCCTCGCCAGACAAGGGGGAGAGAGGAGCTCGAACCTTGACGGTGACTTTGGGACCCTTCTTTTTCTCATCGGCCACGGAGGGACCTGGCAGCAGCAAGAAGAAGAGCGAGCCCACGATGAGAGCAGCTGCAAAGAGCACCTTCATATTTCGCTCTGAGAGACGGAGCATCCACAGGGTGAAGAGAACACGACCCGGGAAGCCGAGGGCCGGAAGAGGGTGGGGACGCGGCCACTAGGGCTCCGGCTCCCCCACCGAGCGGTGAGCCGGGGGAGACCGGGGCTCCTCTCAACCTCCTATCAGAAAACAAGCACCATTTTCCCCCTCTAGGTCAGCTCCAGATAGTAAGTTCCCCGGTGGGCGGGGCCCAGCTCGCCGTCAGTGAAGGCGAAGACGCGAGCTCGTGGGTTGCTGCCACGTTAGTGCTACCTGATTGGACTCCCAGCAAGCAAACTTCCACCAATAGGAAGGGAATCAGGGCAAGGCGGTGCCTTCCCCCCCCAAGGAGCACATTGATTGGGTCTCTCTGAAGAGACTACAAACCCCAGCAGGCGGAGCGGTCAGTCCTGTGGCCCACTCGGCCTTTCCGAGTGGAGGTGTTTTGGCGTGTGGTGGACGGTACTTTTTGTAGGCAATCTGTAGGCCTGGCTAATGGGAGAAGACACTTCATCATGGGTCAAAAACTGTCACTACCAAATTAGGTTTAAGTGGTAGGTTCCAAAAACTTAGGGCACAATTTTATACTTAAAGTATGGTTTTTTGCAGCTACGTTCTTGCAAGGTTTCTTCAGAAACCCACTTCGTTTTTTACTTAGTCCGTCATTTTAATATTTTTCTTTCCCTTCTCAAATCGTACTGTGCTTACTGAAGTATGACTCTGCACTTTATTGCATATTCTGATTCTTAACTTTACCTATTTCCTAAGTAGACTCTGCTTGGGGGGGGGGGGCAAGAAAGAGTGTTGCACTTATTTTGTATACAACTCCCACAACACAACTGCAGGACTAAGTGCTTACAAATACTGGTTGTATTAGCCTACGGCTTGCAAAGTCTCCCTTTTCTAGAAACCTTCGGGAAGGTCAGAGACAGTTGTCAAGGTACCAGCACAGCATTGTTTCAGGTCTTCTTCATACACACACACTTAGTGACATTCCAGTCTACAACATACATACTTTGGTACTGGGAGTCTTAATACACTCGGAAATATAAAGAATTACATTCACACCTTCTAAATTTTGGGTCTATGGCATCATTAAACATCTTTAAAATGAATTTTCAAAGATTAACAGCCTAGATGGTAGGCATGGATCCACTTTCAGTTAACTTTGCAATTTGTTTTCTATATATGACGTGTTGAGCTGCATGTGAGGCTATGCATGGCCACCAGCATTAGTTAATTTGTCCTGCCCTACAATGAGATCACTGACTGCAGTCAGGCAGGAGAGCTTCAATGGACAGTCAGTCCTCTTATTTGAACACATGACAAATAATATGTGTTATTTCCAATCCTTGCACCTCAATCAGGTAGAAGTTCTTAGTAAAATTGTTTCATTGGCAATAATTATCTTCCAAACTCCTCCATTTTTTTTTTTTTTTTCCCCTTGTTTTTCCTATTAAATCTCTTTTCCCAGTTACTGGTCTCACACTGTCCATAGCCAGAGAAAAAAAAAAAACCATGGTTTCAAAGTAGCCTCCAGCACATCAGGAGCTAATGCTAAAATGTCATGAATGTAGCCTTCCCCCCTACACACACACTTTCAAAGGGAAAATAAGGATGGATAAAATGGTCTCAGTGGAAGTTGTTCTCTCATGATCATCTCTCTGTTCTTCCTTGCCTACCAGTGGAAAAAATTAGTAACAAAAATGAAATCAACTGGCAGTTTTGTGGCCATATATGCACTTGTGATTTCATATTACACATTATAGTTACATCCCTGTGAGCATACATGTTCATTTGTAGAGAATTATAAAGCTATTATTTCAAAATGCTCCACAGGGCATATCCCAATTCCTGGTGTTCTACCATCCGAGAACTGCAGGAATATAGGATCTAGCATGTGAGTGTTAATGTTCAAATTCTTACAGGGATATAGAAAGTGACCTACAGGAGTGAGCAATATTCAATACAAAGGAACGAAGTATGGATGCCAAGTACGAGGAATTATTTTTGTTCATGGAGCCGGAAATCACATCAAAGTTAGTCCTGGCTAGATTCTTAGTTACAAACCAGCCAAGGAGACTAAAAACCGTTAACAGACAAACCAAGCAATCAACTAACCAACGAAGCAAGCAAAACAAACAAGCAAAAGTAGCCAAGAAAGGTAAGACATTTTATTTTACATACAAAAAGGGTGCAAACTGAGTCCTTTCCTCCCCAAATTGGGGAAGAGGTATACTTAAAAGATCACATTTGTGTTTTTCATGGTGCCCTAGGAAATGGGCTATGCTGAGATAACATTACCAGGACCCATTTTCCATTTTCTCCAAAGAAGGCTACTTCCTCTGCAGAGGAGTCTTTGCTAATGATACACACACCTCTCTCCTGGAGGAATCGTAGCAAATACACTTGAAATTGACATTCATGTTCAAAAATACTACAAGTTTCATTTTCACAGCTGAACTCTGCGACCAGTGCCTGGGTTTATGAAAACATATCTAAAATAAAAAGTAAAAAGAAGAAAACAAAAATAAGCCCAAAAGGCATTTAACAGTAATTATCAGATACATCCACACATCAATTAAACCTGGCTTCCACAGCTGATTAATACATTACCTAGTTTTAAAAAATTGCAATCAATATCCTAACATCTCTTTAAAAGCATAATGGGCAAAGATTAAAGAAACAGACAAAATAATAATAAATTAGAGCATGTGATATATTCGATAGGAATTGCTGCATCAACATTATTTTCCATTGGGGGTTATATTTTTGGTTTCATCTATTATCTTTTCTGCTGTTACCCTTCTCTCAGCTTGCTAAATGGGGCTCATTCCCAGCACCAGCTTGCTGCTACCTACACTAGTTGAGAAACTCAACTGTCACTTATTTACCTCTGAGTAAATAACACATGGTTCCCCACAGTCTGGGCTGTAAGTCCTTATGGAAGTGAATGCACACAGATGAGCACACACGCACACAAACACAGACACACCCATCTGTAAATATATTTCCCCTCAAAGAAATGGCTCATCTTTCCCGAGACATTCCTATTAGACTGATACGCCTCCTAAAAAAGGCTTTCGGTGCAAGGGCTGGCCTGGGATTTGGTCTTGAGCTCATGAATAATAGGAACACTGAAAATGTCAAGGTTGGGGGGCAGTCAGGACAGCTGTCTTCTTGTGTTACTGGAATGACTGTACTGCACCCCCCATTTATTATCACGGAAAACCCTCTGCTCTGAGACATTTGAAGGTGGTAGTGATGGCACCAGAAAGTAGATTGTGAGGAATAAAAGAAAAAGAACAAAAGAAATTCTATCCACAAAAGTGAGGTTTCTTTTTAACGTTAAGTTTGATAAATCAAGCTAGAAATATATGGAATACATGTTCACTTTTTCCATTGTAAGATGATCTACAAATACTGGATTGCGTTTCCTGGTTGCTTTTTGAGAAAATATGTCAACTACTACCATCTATATCCAAGGAACCTACTTACTATGGAGAACCTATACTTTTGTACTCAGTCACCAGAGCAAAAGGAGTTAGGAAAAAATTAAAATTTAGACTGCTCAATTGAGCAGACTTTCAAGATTCCTTATTTGTGGCTAAAACACTGCTCAAAACTCTAAAAACCCTTAAGAAGGGCCATAATTTCCTTTTCTTTCTTTCTTATATAGAAACAAAAACAGCACTCTCCTTCTACCCCCTCCCCGCTACAAAAGAAATAAATAAACCCAAAGTAATCTCATTTTATTTCTACCGACCCATCATGGGGAAGACTGGGAGTCACTGGCCATCAGCTCTGGAGAGTCTGCAAAAGCAAGAATCCCAGAGACAAGTGCCTGTCACCCACATGGCCAATCCCAGTGGGATGCCCATTTACCCTGGCTCTGGGAGAACTCCTGGGATTCATCTGTCCACCGTGAGGCAACGGTGGGGATGGTAGCAGTAGCCTGGTCAAGGCAATGTTGGCTGTATGGCGCTGCAAGTTCCCGGTCCAAGAAACTCTAATCCTAACCTGGAGATAATGCTGTCAAGGAAACTCACTGAGAATAGGAAACTGGTTTAAGTATGAAAATCAAAGCAGTGGTTGGAACACAGAAGGCATTGGGATTAGGAGAGATGCATCAGAAGATCAAGTTCTTCTGAGGAGATGCTTTCTAGGCTGCCATGGAAGGTTCTGAAAAATGTAGGTCATGCTTGCTCATTGGGAGGGGAAACAGAGCTTTTACATTGGAAAAAAAAATAAGGCTATGATCTTTAGTAACCACTTTGATATAACATTACCAACACTGCACATTTCTGGCATCAAAGATGGATACTAACAGTAAGACTCAACAATGAATATGGACTACCTTTGTACATTTCCACTGAACTAAGTTGGAAGTTACTTTTGAGGAAATGGACGTCTCATGGCTAATGTGTAGGGGCTGTTTCTGAGTTCAATGGGAATAAACAGGTAATCACTGCTCCTACCTCAGAATCCCTGCTGTCTCCAATAGGCTCTACATTCCAAAGTAAAATGGACCTCTTATAGGGAGGCTCAAGCAACCTGACTCCTAGCTTCCTAGACACTGTTCACTCTTGGAAACCACACAGAAGGAGAATGTTAATTAAGGCCTGTCATGAACACACACTAGCTGCTGTGCTCCATGTCCACTCTTGTGGAGCATTCTGGTATGAGATTTCTGGGAAGTGCCAAGGTGTATAGTAAATGATCAAACCTTACATGCTTAGATTGCAGATACAAGTCATACTCAGGTCATGAGAGGACCCTTTATGCCTTGGGTGGAATCTTGGTCTGCCTGCCTCAATCTGCTCAGGGTGTAATTAATGCCTGAGGAACTACAGAATCTGGGATAACTCCTATCGGAATAGTATTAAGGGTTTATTAATTTATAGATGCTGACTTAGCTCTAAGGAGAAACAACTGCATCAATATCAAAGAATTTTAGGGATTATGGCCGCAAAATGGAAAAAGCCCCAAAACTACAGAGCTAGTGGATTTGGAGGTGGGGTTTGCCCAACCTCAAGGCTCTGGATGAGGCATACAGATGAGAAACTGTAAGAATGGGGCTGTGGAAGGATGATGAGCAGGAGTGGATGGAGCTAACGGGTAACTCCTTTCTGTTTACTCAGCTGCTCTGTGTGTATGTGTTTAAGGAAAAATCTCAACAGTCTCCCAGGGGCCTGGGACCACTTTGGAATACCAAGGGCCCTGGAAGGATCACTTTAGCACTGCATGCTAAAGAGATCTGGAGTTGTTATGAAAACAAAGTATCTTTAAAGAGATTTATGTCTGTGTTTTTTTTTGGGGGGGGGAGGAAGGTAAAGGGTGAGAATGGTGCATTAAGGAGGACCCTGCCCCACTCCTCAGATTCAACTCCTCAAGAGCTAGCCTTTAAAATATTTTAAGACAAAAACAACAACCCCACAAACATAGCTGCAAGGGGGCTTGCCCCACAATCAAGCTATCACTGCTTTTGTTTTTGGGGGAGGCTAGAGGTGATGGTGGGGGAGGCACTTAGTGGGGTATGGAAGGCCAGGATGCTCCAGGCCTTGCCACTATTCCCCCCTGCCTTCCCTTGAGAGGCAAGACTTTTTTTCCATACAGAGATGAGGAGGTTAAAGTTTCTATACAGGAAGCTAAGAGTTGCCCAAATGCCAATTAAGAAACTATGTAAATTTCAGTGATTGGGCCTTAAACATTAGATAATGGCAATGAAGCAAAGCCCAGTATTCAAAGCTTGAGGCCAGTGAAGTGATATTCTCAAGCCAAGGCCCAATGGAACAAATGAAGCCCAGTAACTCTGACCCATGCTAACGCTGCTGGTTCTGTTCCATGTAAGGTCCATCAAGGGACTTGTCAGGAAATTTAACTAGGAAGTATCTCCACACCCTCCAGCCCAACAGACATCCCTACATATCAAGCCAGAAGTGACATCTTCTGTGTTCTCAAAAGTCACCAGCCATTGTCCTCCATGGTTAATTCTCTCTAGCTCCACTGAAATGTGGAAATGAAAGGACCAAAGTGGAGTGTTGATTTCTCCTCTCTTCTTCCAGATACAAGACCTCTTCTCCTAATGCAAATAATCCTCTGTCTTTTGTCACATTTGGAAGGAGAAGTCACTGTTTGAATAAGCCACTGAACTCAACTGAAAATCAAATGTGAGAAGAGTAATTCCACACATTATTGATTTTTCTAGCAGGAACGAGGAATCAAGATCCTTCCTGGTAGTATGTCATGTGAAAACACCATGGCAGAAGGTGGAGAGTATATGGGAGAACATGTTCCAGATGCATGGCCATCTTATCTGGAGTCTCTGTCCAACTGAGAAGATAATTTCAGACCTTTTATTCTTCTCTTCCTGGAATTTCCCAGCACTGACCAAGCTTATCCTCTGTTAACTGTAGCCCCATGTACTCAGTCCTAATGCCGCTGCTATGGACCTGTTGGGAGCAAATCTTCATGGGCTTGGCTTCTGATAAGGCAGACCTACCCAAGTGTTGGAACTTAGCTATTGGGGAAGACGGTACACACCAATTTTCTTTTCCTGGCCCTATGATGCCACATCCTGAGGTTCCTCTGGCAGTTGGAAGGCAGGTTGATGTTCCTCTTCTTCTTTGCCCACTAGTGGCAATACGATGGTGGCTGTTTCATCATTTTGTCCCCCATGTCACCAGGAAATCACATGGCTATCTAGTTGGAAATCCCTGGCAGTGGAGGAAACAGGTATTTGTTGTTGGTTTGTGTGTGTGTGTGTGTGTGTGTGTTAAGCATCTGCTTCTCTGAGATGAGCTATCTCCCAGTCCCAGTTTGGCTTAGCCTGGCTCATCCCAAGTGCTTGAGAGCTAAACTTTCTAAACTGCAGGCTGATTAGGTCAAGATGCTCTAGTAGAGACATTCTTCGGCAGCTGAGAAGATGCATGAAAATTCAAGTATATGTTTCCTTGCCAACCTGAGTGCAATGGCTCAGAATGGCGCAGGATTTGGCTTCTTTTCTTCTGGGTGCTGCAGACCAAAATCTTTCCATTGAGAATGTCCTCTGGACCCATATTCTCTCTGAATGGCTTAGGTGGCCCCATCCCCTTCAAAACAGAAAAAGTAAAACCCCAATATAACCAGACACAATATGCATCTGTCATATTTTCTGTTTAAAAACAAAACAAAACAAAAACTAAAAGTGCAATAAAGTCAGTTTTTTTTTTCTTTGCTCAGACCAATTTGCATTGTCCTATTACTGTCTCAAGAACAGAGTTCACTTGTCAAGAAAGCTAAGAATGCCAATGCACAGGGACAGTAGACTGCAGATTTCTCACAGCTTGTGTCCTACAGTGTAACTTCACAGGAAGGAGGGAGGAAGGAAGGAACGTGTACTCCGTGACCAGCTGGGGACGAAGGCTGCACAGGCACAGAGGGAGAGGAAGCCACACTGCCAGACATACCGGGTACCTGGTAGCAGGAGAAGGTTCTTCTCCAGCCCAGGTCTTCCATCTTCATCTTACCTTCTTGCCTACACCTCAGCCTCCAGAGCTCCTTCAGCAGACAAAGCTCTTGTTCCCTAGCTTTTATGCTGGAGAGGGTTGAGGGTAGGCAAGAACCAGGAGCAAATTAAGGGGAGGGAAGAGACTAGTAGTCCTTGAGTTTTTGTGAATGACACCTTCACTGTAAACAATGGGAAGGAGAGTCAACCAGGCAACCCCAAGGGCAAGCAGTGGTGGAGCAGCAGCTCTGGGACCTGCTCAGAGCCTCAGGCAAGGGGCATGCCAACTGACCCACTGGGCCCTGGCTGCCCACACTGGCTCCTTCTGGGGTATCTGTTTTCTTCTTTTTGGTTTGGATCTCCACCCTCCCCCACAGAGGAGTCCCTTCCAATGAGAAATGGCAGGAGCTGCAGGTGCAATCAAGTCAGCGTCCCCAGGGTCTGAGGACTCCTGGGAGGCACTGGTCACTTGTGGCGCTGAGCAGTCTTCTTCCTTTTCCTCTTAAAGAAACAGCAGCACCTGGAGCATAAGGAAAACCACAAGTCAGTGTGGGGGGCGCCTGCAGCTTCCAGCAGACCTCTGCCTGTTTCTACTTACTGTATAGGATGAGATTCTCCCCTAGCACCCACCCACAGGACCGCCCACCATCCACAGTGAGCACACGGGAGGCAGTGGGCAGTGTCTGCCAGGAAAGCCAAAGGACTAGCTGCTTCATCTCCATCTGAAGCTCCTCAACCTAATGAACAAAACACTGCAGGCTAAGCAGGGCCAAAACAGGCATCTCTGGAAGGAGGATGAAGATTTATTTTCTAACACTCAACCCAAATGCCTCATCTTTGTCTAGAACTAAAGTTAAAAGTCACAAAGGCGGCAAGAAAAATAGTCTGCACCCCTGATATAGAGGGCACAATTATCTAATCCAATTCCATGGCTAGCAGGTAGAGAGGCTAAAGGCAAAGAAATCTCATAGATAGCATGATGCTTGGAACTCTGGGAGAATCTCAAGATCCTAACAATGAAGGATTAAGCATTCCTTCCCCATCCCCATCCCACTACCTGGAGTAGACAAGAGAAACCCTGACTTCAACAGGACCTATGAGCCCAAATCTCCCAACAAAAATCAGGACAGTCCATTCTTCATTTAGAGGGGAGCAACCCACAGCCCAGGAACTAATCATTAGGAAGCTCTCTTGTTGCAGAGCACCCACCAATCAACCTAGCTTCCTGATACTGCTGCTGTCATGCCCAACTGGTTTAAGAACTGGTCCTGTTTAGGGTGGAGGATGGGGCCTGCTTCCTTCATAAGCCATCCAGTGCTGCCTCCCGGGGAATAGCCACAGCTTAGGTACATCCTTTGACCTGAGCCCTATCCCCTCCTCACTCCTATCTTTGAACAGAGAGCATCACACTTGCTCAGGAAGTGATGAGTCCACAAGGGGTTGATGAGGGTTGTGGCATGGATGGTACAAAACAAGTATCCTTTCCAGGAAGCTGACATATGGGAAATGAGAATGGAGGGGCAGAAGGTGGCAGATGAGTCAAAGATGCCAGTGATGGAGTGGAATAAAGTTGGAGGTGTAACTCAGACTTGCTGAACGCTTGAAGGAAAAACTTTTCCGAGGAAACTACCTTTGAATCTCCTAGGCTTATCTGACCAGGTTTAATGCCAGCAATAGCCATATGGAAATAAAGAAATGCTGCTTACTTCCCACACCTCTAAGTTCTCCATTGTAGCTAGATTCTCTTTTTAGTCAGATACCTTTGTATTCCTACACCCAAATGGACTAGTTATTAAAAATTCAAAGAAAGTTTCTTAGAATGCAGAAATAGAAATTTATAAAGACAATGATGGGCTTTACCCCTATGTGAATTGAGTCAAACATAGAAATTTCAGAAATAGTAGTTTCATAAAAAGAGATTTACAAAAGATTTTCTCTAAGAGTATCAATGATGTTTGTTAATGTACTATTAACGGGTATGAATATATTCACTAAACAAAGTGTCATATATATTTTGAGACTCAAAAAATTCTTTTATATAAGGGCCAACACTTAATTATTTAAAACAGTCCTCAATGGAATCTCCGGGGAAGGATTTAAGGGGGGGAAAAAAAAAAGTATTTCTGGAAACGTATGTTTTAGAAAATGGACATTTCCAAGTTTAATGTCCTGAAATTGATATTATGGTAAATTAAATATCATGGGGGCACAAATATTTTAATAGACTTACCTGTTCCCTGTTTACTATGATTTTCAGAGGGATCGGTAACATTTTAGTAAATTTCTATTCATTTTCTTTCTTTTTAAGCAGCAGGTGAATTCCTTAGCACGGTGCTAAGATAATGATTTTGTGTTTTTAAATATGAGCAATTTAAAAAAGTGAAATACTGTTTAGACCCACTTCAAACTATATAATGACTTCTCTATCATAAACCACCCCCCCAAAGGCAAGCCCTGAGAATTAATGCCTACTTATATGAGTTTAACATTTACCTGAGGTAGATACACTCCTTGGAGAGAACAGTCATGGAAGAAAGAGGGGGTGTTTACACAGGGAGACAGCTCAGGGGGCAGGAGTACATGGAGGGATGGACACAGAGAGGAGGAGCTATCAGGAGGAAGTGGGAGGGGAGCTATTGCATTGGGCTAAATTGTAGTTGATGTCATGAGACAAAGTGTATGTGAACTGCTGTATGAAGGGTGAATTTGCTCTGTAAGCTTTCACCCAAATCACAATAAAAAAAAAAAGAAAAGAAAAGAATTAATGCCTACTTATAAACCAATCATAACCTGATGTGCAATGCTGAATTTACCTGCCTGAAGGAGAGTGCAAGCTGTGGTTTAGAGGAGCTGGAATATTTTAAATTTAGAGCCCTTAATTTCTTTTAGTTACTAAAGTTAAAGTATGATCAGTAAAGAAGCTTTTAAAATTCTACCCACCAGGAAGCAGGTCCCACAATGTGCTGCTCTTCAACTCTTTGGTTTCTGTGGTGACTACTAGACCTAGACCAAAGCCAATCACTGACTCCATAGAGATGGCCTACTTTCACAAGAGAATGAAGATAGGTGATAAGCCCATCTTGTGTCTTAGGTTTTATTCCAGTGGATTCCTTGATTGATTGGATGATCCGATTTCTTAACATGTTAGAGTCTGAATTGGTCCAGTCTCCTTACTCACAAGCCAGTAGGTGCTCTTCCCTCAGGTCTCTAAGCCATTACTTTTTCCACACTGCTCTCTTACTATATCCTGGATGCTCCCCACTCAGTTATTCTCCTGCTTTATTCCCCTTCCTTGCCATATTTGTACACTCTTTCTTTGTTTTAATACCTGGCTCAAGTCCCACAGTACCCATGAAGCCTTCCTTGACTGGTCCTGTCCAAATAACCTCTCATTCCCTTAGCCTCCTGAGGGACAAAAATTTAAGTGTCTGGAGAACTTCCTGTCCTTTTGTGTCTGTGTATATTTTATCTTCTCTAGCTAGATGTTACCTAAGCTCTTTGGGGGCAGGGTCTAGGCTTTGGGACCCCTCAGAGTTCCAAGCATAGAGTTGGATGAGCACAGTCCTTAAGGACTTATGGACTAATTCAAGATCATGTGACTGATGCCTCAGAAGAAAAAACAGACCATGACAATGTCAGATTACACAGACAAATGTTTGCTAAATGAATAGGCCAAATGTACTCCTTGATACCCTATGATTACAAAGTCCTATCTCTATAAAATCCGTTTGTTACTGTCAATAATCCCTGTCCCTAGGGAAGCCCTTCTAGGCAATTTGGTTAGGGTTGAGAAATCAGCGCCCAACCAAGTTACTGAAAATAAGTAGAAACAAAGTAAAACAAAGTAGTCATAGAGTCTGACAGCCTATTACCACTGTGTAGAATACCACCCTATGCACACAGACAATGTGGAGTTACAACTTCAGCTGCAACAGACCAGCAAGGTTAGGAACTGGAAGGTCACAGGCAGTGTCCATGAAGAGAGTTGGGGATGGCTCCCTGTCTTACAGAGGAATGTTCCTCACCACACATGGATTCAGAAGGGTTTCCCACTTCTACATGGCCCATCTTGTTTCTAAGAATGATTTTGAGGAGACTTTTCCAGAAGTGGAAAATACAAGGTCCAATATGTCATTAGCTGAGTTAACCCTTGGCCCACTAATCACTTGTAAGGAATTAAAATAAAAATAAAAATAAAAATACCAAAAAAGCCCCACAATAGCAGCAACAACAAAATGTCCATCTCTCCCCCAAGAAGGAGCTTTCTCTTTATAGGAGGGAGGGAGGAATCATACTCTACAGATGAATCATAAAGAAAAGTCACTGATTTTCCCCAAAGCAGACAATTTCCAGGTTAAAGACCAAGCCACAGGAGATACGGCAACAACACTGTCCTTGGGGCTGTGAGTAAGAATCTAAACAACTAATAGAATAGCCTTGTTCTCACTTCTGTACCTTTCCTTCCAATATTATCTGGTCATATTGATTTGGGAGACAACTCACTCAGCTAAAAATAAAGAGAAAACCTTGGGGTGGGATATTGTTTTGGCAGGAGAAGGCAGTGATGAGGTAGGTTTGAAAGGCAAGAAGGAAAAGATTAATTCCTGGATATAAGCCTGCCCCATTCCCACCTTGTGGATCTAGTTCCCCAGTCTGGGTGGTTATAGCACAAGGTGGCACATGTAAGCCATTCAGTGTTCCTAAGGCATTTTGTTTGGTTTGCCACTCCCAGCCTAGTCTGGTCCGCTCCCCTTGCATGTGGACTGGAGAGAGGGACTCACCACAAGTTGAGCATTTTCAGGCAGCTACAGAGTGTGTAAAGAGAAAAACACAGAAAGGAAGAGAGAGAAAGAGAGAGATATTAGTCCACAGAGGTGAGATGGAAGCGACTCCCTGTGAGCCATGCAAACATGCAGTACGTGTCTATGTTTAGTTTCTTCCTCTGTTGGGGTGTGGGGTGTGGGGGGGTGAGGAGGCCTCCCTTGGACCTGCTCTAAAGTGGGGCTACTTGGTCCCCACTCTAAATTAGAGTGGGCAGGAGCCTGACAGAAGTCTCAAAGTTGGGGGCTGGATCTCAGTGAAGGCTAAGGCAAAATAGAGAATTGGTGGGGGTCCCAGTATGGGCTTTCCTAGGCAGTTTCTAGGAAAGTAGCAGGGAAGACAACAAATGACCATGTCTGTAAGAGCCCAGTCAGCCACTGAGACTGAGCTATTTTGGTTCTCACATGAAGTCTTACTGTACAATGTCAAGTTAGCTTCCCAACTATTCTGAAGGAGAGACAAGTCCTCAACCCCTGTACAAGTCCAGCATGCCTGATCAAAGCAACCAGCAGTTAGCTCTTCCTCTTCAGAGGAGAAAAGGCTTAAGAAACATTCACTTTATCTTATTAGGAGATGAACTGGAGGTAAGTGGCTTGCTGCTATGAATTAAGGTAAAACTATCAGAGAAGTACCTAAATCCCATTTTATTAATTCTCTAGAGAAATTAAGTCCTTATTTGCTAAGTTATAGCCAACATCAGTGGATAACCAAAAATTCCTTGTGTTATTACTGTAAGAAAAAAAATCAACCAAAAAGCTCCCTACCCTCACTACCCTTCCAATCATACTTAAACAAGGACAAGTGTCCTGTAGCTAATGAAAAAGGAAAGTCAGACGTTCATTTTGTACACAGAATAAAAAGCAAGACCCTATTGTTCCTCTCTCCTCTATACAGAACAAGCTGGATGAGAAACTCAAAATCAAAAGCTTGGAGGCTTCACATAGTTTCTCAAGTCCCTGAGCTGAGGCTCAATATAGGCAAAAATGCCCTTTTCCCCACAAGCAGGCTGCATGGACAAATGGCATCACAGCTGCGTGCAATGAAAAGTTGTTTGGGATGTCTTGTGCTTCTCTAGCTGTGACTTCTTCCCATAAAAATGATCAAGCAGGTAGACACATGGCAACTCCCTCCCCCTGCCCCTACAGAAAGCCAAGAGAAATAACACATGGTTGTGCCCTAACAGTCCCCTGGGCAAGATGAATTGGTTGCTCTTGAAAGCACTAGGGAAATTAGCACATAAAATGCCCCAAGCCATGAACTTTTGGGTAACTTTTGGTCAAATATAATTGCTCCATTCTGGTTTCCACACTTCTCAGAAGTCTCAAACCTAGGGCTAGTTGGCAAAGAGGCATAGTGGCCCTTTCTGCTAAGTGGCAAGACTTTAAACTGCCCTTATATCCTAGGGCTTAAGATAATTCCAGAACAGTATATACCAGACTTAAATCTACTTGTGTAAATGGCCTCCTATCTTACACAAAAGACACAAACACCACATTCACATATACAATTAGAGCACACATTTACCAAAATGAAATGAGATGAATGGGTTCAAAAGATAAACCTGTCCAGGGCATATTATAAGACTAAAGCCCATTCAATCTTGGTATTCAAAGCATCTTATTAAATCCAGAGCTAAACTTCTAGCCTTCAAAATATCAGCCACAAAGGTAAACTGGGAGTGGAGTCAGGGTGGGGAAAGCCCAGACAATGTCTGGATAAGACTACATTTAGTGCAGTGGTTCCCAACCTTGGATACAGACAGAAATCACCTCAACTTTTAAAAATGCAGTGCTTGGACCACATCTCAGATAAATTAACTTTGAATCTCTGAGGCCAGGATTAAGATTGATTATTTATCAGGTGCCTGTATTTTCTAAGATGCCTCAGGTGCATTTATTTCTCAAATGCAGCCAAGGTTGAGAACCTAGCGGGTGGAAGTACTGTATTGTTTATGCAGTTTTGTCATGAAAACTGAAAAACTGTGAGTACTATTAAAAACTCGAGAGTCCCTAAGAAGAGGGCACATGTTTTCTTACTAAAAATGGTCTTCTCTGGTATAAACCTTCCCCCTCCTCCCTCTCTGGTGCCTTATATAAACCAGAAAAGCAGCATCTGAAGCTGCCTACAGTCAGCAGGCACTGGACAGGAGAGTCCAAGTCATCCTGGGGCACTTTTTATCTACTAGGTAGGAATGCTCAAGTCCGGCTTTACAAAGAACAGACCACTTGAACACCAAGTGAGTTCATCAATAGACATGCAGGAGATCAGGGGAGTGGGACAGGTGACAACCACACATCTGGAAAGAGAAAGAATGCAGGTCATGGTTGGCTTCTCACTATTTTACACCCAGAGGTGTAGCTCGGTCTGACTTGTATTTAGGCTATCTGAGGGTTCAAGAGACCACAAAGGAAACAATATCCTTACAAATATGTTGCCTGTTTCAGAGAATATGACACCAGTATATCCTGAATATTCTCAAAGGATTCAAAAGAAAGGTCATTCATCGTTGAGCTGGCAACAACTTCTGACTTGTGAAGGACCTATCTCCTTATTGGATGTCTTCTTGGAGTTAAATCTGGCCCTAAGTTTGGCATGGGCAAAAAAGGGAAATCTGTGATAGAAAAGCTGCCTTTGCAGCAGAATTGGCAGTTGCTTCACTTTCTACCCCAGATTCTAAGAGTTTAAACACAGACCATGCAGAGAGCACCAAAGAGCCGCTGGTATGGGCAGGGCAAGACACACACATGCAAATGAAGCAGAAAAGGGTGTGAGGGTAACCTCCTCATTCTCTTGGGATCATTATGACTTCCTTTCCTTCCCAAAGACTTTTTCATTCACAGGTTCAGAGATGATTTTTCTTGCCTGACTTACTTGAATCTCCCTCAATCAAGAATCATTTGAGAGAACAAAATGGTTCTGAAATCCTTGTTCCAGTAATATACACCCAGAGTTATTAGCTAAAAACCAGAAATCGAATGCTGCTAACCATGGCCCACGGTTTAGATAAGCAGATTTTTCTCTATACCCCATAGGGAGGAAGAAGCTTCGGGGCTCTGAGAGGCTTATGGTTACCATCTGTTGTATCTCGTACAATACAATTCTTTTAGTTCACTACATCTTTTGTGGAAGCTCTGATAGCGTAGTGCGTAAGGCACTTGACTGCTAACCAGAAGGCTGGTGGTTCAAACCCACCAGCCACTCCTCAAAAGTAAAGTTGGGCAATCTACTTCTGTAGTGATACCACCTCGGAAACCAAAGGAAGGGCCACTATGAGTCGAGTCCTACTCGACGGCACATAACAACAACAACAAGTCTTTTGTGCCATGTAGACTATAAAAATACAACTATTCTCCTGGAATTCACAGCTAAAGAAGGGCAGCAGCAGCCTTACAATTCCATGCAAAAAATAAGAGGGCCAAAAAAATGAATCTGCGGACACAAGCATGAGGAATTCAGTCTGAGATGGAAAGCACACAGAGAGGAAATGACAGAGAAAATTCAACCCATGACACAAGAGCCCCCTTGAAAGATGAACGTACTTAGCTTCCTCCACTACCTCCACCTCAGCGTGAGCTGTGATTGGTGCATTGGAGTGGGCTCCTGTGGGGTCATCGACATTCAGCTCTCCATTGGTCGAGCTAACCACCTGAAACAGAAAGACAGAGTATGATAGGTACCATAGTAATAAGGAGCCTCTTGCCAGTGTAAGAGAGGGTCACTAAGGGAGACCTGGTGTCCAGTTGAAGATCTAGCCAGGTAGAGTCTAGAATGTTTGTTTTCCTGGATAGAGGGGCCAGCTATCCTAATTCTGGGAAGGTGTATTACAACCAGGCCACCAGAACCACAACATGTGAGGAAACTATCATCAAAGATGTAATCATATAATGATAATAATATCTTCTACATTGAGTGCCTACTCTGTGTCAGACACTGGGCTACACTATGTGTGCATACGCATGTATATGAATTTAATCCTCACAAAAACTCTGTAAAATAAGTCATATTACTATCTTTTGATAGATGGAAATGCTCAAAAATGACTTAACCAAGGTGTAGAGTTAGGGTCTGATGGACTTAAATGAGGGAAGTATGCCCTAAACATGTAGAATCTTTCACACTGCAAAAATGCAAATAGCTCTTTATTAATGTAAAAGTAACTGCACAGCTCACTTTAAAGGTTACTTTGCTCCCTTAAACATACTAGGTAAATTCTATTTCTCTCATTTTATCATGTTAAAAAAAAAATCTAAAAAGTAAATTGATACTGAGCACCAGAAACTATAAACAATCACACTTTCCTTCAGAAATTTCTTCAAGGCTTTGACCACTGGTTTGAAGGTACTCAAATAACAAGACTGCCATAATCTCTGTGGTGAGAGGGGGGATGGTAAGGAAATGCTTTGACTTGAAAGACCAGTCTTATTTCAACAACCTTTATTTCAGGTTCAGTGTCATCCCACTTCTCACTGATGGTCCCCAAACTGTAACTGAAGGCTCTCATTCCTGTCATCTGGTTCATGTGGACCCAATCAGGCTTCTCTTGCTTATGTAGCTGCTTCTGCCACCTGGTTTCATTTCCAGCACATGATTCCTGTTTATGTGGGTGCTGGGGAGTGGGAAAAGGGACCCCCCTTAACAAACCACTCTGCTGTTAAAGACCTTGGCTGAAACATGGGAGAGAACCACAAAATAGGGTAAACAGTTTGGATATCATATGCCCCTAGGTAAGTACTTCATTTATTTGAGAATGTTTTTTTACAGGTTGATGTGAGAATTATATGAGAAAATGTATAAAAGAGATAGTATATGGTACAATACCTGGAGCATAACAATGAAAGCAGAACACTATAGTAAATACGAACTGGGCTCTAGAGTGAGTCAGCCCTGGGTATGAACCCCAGCTTCACCACTTACTTGCTGTGGGTCCTTGGGTATGATCCTCAATCTTTCTGTGCCTGAGCTTCCTAATCTGTAAAATGGGGAAATAATGGTGCTTACCTAATTGGGTTACTATGCAAATAATCCAAAGAAAGTGCTTATTCCAATGCTTGGTACATGGAAAAGGCTCAATAAATGTTCCTATTACTATTATTCTCCATAAATCCTTGCTTATTTTTATCTGCCTCAATACCTTGGGTTGACACCAGTAGTTAATTTGCAAAAATTTCCTTAACAATCATAAAGAGGGAAAGTATTTAATCAAAGTAGACAGGTGAATATTACTTACTGGTAGTCTATATCCACAATTATTTCTATGCTGGCAATATTTATTGTTCTTACAAATAATAAGACATTATAAAAAATTAAAATAATGCTGTATAGTTAGTGAATTAAACCTACAACATTAAATCTGGACTTGCTCAAGGAAGACCCAAATTTCTGCTAGTGATCAAGTTCGTTGTTGTCGTTGTTATGTGCTGTCGAGTTGACCTGACTCACAGCAACCCCTCCTTGGGTTTCCGAGGCAGTATCACTACGGAAGTAGATTGCCCCATCATCCTTCCTAGGAGTGGCTGGTGGGTTTGAACTGCCAGCCTTCTGGTTAGCAGTCAAGTGCCTTAGCCACTATGCTACCAAAGCTCCCAGTGATCAAGTTTAGCATTACTGATTCGTAGAGCAACCTAACCAAAATCTTATCTCCTGACATGATATGATAGGTAGCATACAATATTATCTACCTAGTATTCTTGCCAAAAAAATGTATTATCTGAATCTAATCATGAAGAGAAAAAACATTAGACAAATAAAAAATGTGGGACACTCTATAGAGTCCAACCAGCCTGGACTCTTCAAAAAAGACTGACTTAAAAAATCTATTATTGAGTTCTGGCAAGATGGCGGACTAGGCAGAAAGACCGCACAGACCCTCTTCAACAAAGAAAAGGGAAACCAATTAACACAGACACAGAGGATAATCCTGGACCCCTGAGCCTTGAAGGGAAGGATATAGAAGTGGACTAAACCCCAACTAGCAGAAGAATCTGCATGAAAATACCAAAAAAGGAGACAG